CCGATCACCAATCGCTGACTTGACCATAAAAGTGTATGCGGCTGCCGCCACTCTCCATTGGTTCCGACCGTATGCTTCTGACCGTTCGTTATAGTGCACAGGGAGGATTACGTGGAGTGGCTATCGGTTGGCCACGTGGAGGGTCCATTTCGCGAGGTTAACACGCATGATGGCAATATCAAGTTGTCTATTATTGGCTTATGATCAGAGTCTAATATTTTCTATCTAATAATATTGGTCAATCATAGTGCACTGAAAATGGATATTAAAGAATGCCAACCTTTATAAATTATCTCAAACTCTAGCAAATGATATTTTATAACGCGGTTTGCTAATTGTCAAATTAATTAAACAATTATATCAGTTTTAAGAACGCCAGAGCGGAATTAAGAAGTTGGAAATAATATACAAATGCATCCTTATAGCAACTAAATCCTCGCAAAAAATAATTCGAACCAGAAGTTTGAAAAATAATTAATTAAAATGCATATACTGATTTAGGAGATCAACAATATTTCATACGAGCAAATAAAGAAGATGATCCTATTTATAAAACGTGTACTTTTGAAGAATATGTAGACATAACTAATTATAAAATTTTAGATGAGATTTAAGTACTTCAGATATTGAAAATAGAGATATCTCAAAAGGTTATGAGAATGAAATGGAGTTGAAAAGAAAAAAGTTGTCGATAACAATTTTGTATATAGTGCTGCTTTTTATTAAAAAAGACGAGAATATCAAAATAATTTCGTTAAATCATATCAATAAAAGGAATGATTGACAAAATTGATTTATTAGTCTGGATTTACGATCCGGCCACATAAAGGTGTATACTTATACAAGATGAATAAAAAAAGTCATAACATGTAATATAAGATGCTTACCATAATGAATTTCTCAAAAACTTGAATAAATAGACTATGGTGGATTCAATCACAAGTCTCTATCTTGTTAGTTCGACAATACATGAAATTTGATATGTATACAATATATATAATTACAGTAAACTCATTTTTTATGGTTTTAATATTATCATTGGAAAATTTTATGTTCGAAGTACATAATTCAAGTAATATCATCACGAAAAGAAGTAAATACATGTTGTTCTATTTTTTCGCTGATCATGATTTTGTCCCACTAGATTTTCATGGCAGGATTTTTAACGAAGCAATTTTTGTAGCATATTCAAAAAAATAATGTACTATTTTTCGTTATTAGAATTTTTTTAATAAGATCTTCATATGGCATATTTTTTGTGTAATAGTGTCAGTGTAATGATGTCCATAATATACAAAATATTTAACCTTATAATAATATTCTTATATGTTACAAATTATTTATTAATCGAATAGATCAATAACGAAATCCATTTTTCAACAAATCATCATGTGATTAAAGATAAACAAAGATTGAGAAATATCATATATGAAGACAATATTGCTTGATATCTTTAACAAGACAACACAAATCATATTTCACCAAAATTGTAATATTGTAAACATTGATGTACAGGACATCAATGATTCGAAAGAAGAAGTTTCAAATATTGCAGTCAAGAGGAACAGATATACATTTTTTGAATTTTACTGATAGGATTTTAAATATGTAGATATTTTGTAATTTGTAGTTAATTGGAGAGTATTATAAATTATATATTTATTAGTAAATGATAATAATACCCCTATAGTCCTAATTTTTATTATTACTGCATACTTAATTCTTCCTTATAAATATGAAACTTTGATTATCAATGAAATACATACAAGTCTATTAACTTATTCACTTTCTTCTCTTTTTCCTTTATTTTATAACACTTTTTTTCATCCAAATTTTTATTTTTTCACTTGCGCGGAAGCTGCGAGCCAACTCGTGCCCTCCAGCTAATGGCTTGCACAGGAAAATGTCATCTCAGATAGCCCCAGGACCCACCTACATCCATAGAGTTGGGTCGGAGGTGGTAGACGACTGCATTCAGCAATAACTTTCGCGATGCGGAGAGGATCTAAACTTTGAAATCCGGTTTTACACAGTGAAAGGGATCAACAATTGGTATGACTGGTGGGGTTAATAGAGAGAGAGAAAGTGGGAGTGGTGGGGCCGGCCTCTTAAAATCCAAGAGAGAACTTGTGGTAGAAGAAAAATCATTCCATTTCCCTTATATAATTTTTTCCACTACCATGCACGATAAGTTACATAAATTAAAAGGCATTTTATCATGTTGAATAGGGTTAATGTAATTAATCATCATTGGTTAATGTTTTTAATAAAATTAAAACCAATTTAAAGTAAAAGTTATTGTTTAGTTTTGACCTTTTCCAATTCTGACCGTACCATTGAAAGTTCCCTTTCTCTTTCTTCTTTTGCTTTTATTATATATTAATAAAATATTTGAGGATAATTCTTTTTTTCTTTTATTAGGATAACTCGAGCATAACTAGTTCAAAATTACTTTTTTCTTGATTTCAAATTATATTATTTAACACGAGTGATAAAATGAGTATAATATTGATATATTTTATCAACTTCTAAAATACGTAAATATTCGACCCAAATAAAATTTACAATAAATTATAAGTACAAGTGAGCAAAATAAATCATCAACCTTCGGACTTTTAGTGTGACGACAAATATAAACATGAATCATTTCATTAGCTAAGTGACACATTAAGTTAGGTCCATATGAAAAATAATAAAAAAAAAAGTTCAGGATGTTACATGAAATATCTTAATTCTTATTTCCTTTAAACAAAAATGAGATCCTTTTTTATCAATGAATATTTTCTCCAGCCTGGAGATGTGTTAGTCATAAAATATATGTGAATTTATCTTACTATTACTAATATTAGAAAACTTGATTGGAATTTGAAATTTTTTATTAATTACTTATTGACTTGTTTTCGTTATTGCAAATGGATTTATTCTTGTTCAATAGATACTATGATTCAACTTAAATCTATTATAAAGCAGAGGTAATGAGTTTAAATTTTGGAGATGCAAAAGAAATATTTAAGAGATAAGATGGACAGAAGCTCTCCCAAAACGGACAGTACGTATAAACCAATGAGTTGAGCACAAGTGCCCAAGTCATTATAGTAACCCTTGCATTTCCTTGTAAGACCATGTAACCATATCTTTGTATTCCTGGAGTAGGTTGAAGTACACATATTCATCTTTTTTACCGAGTTAAGAACTAACAAACATTGTTCTCGGATCTTCTTTCATCCCTAAGTTCAATTGTTTCAAATAATCCATAGTAGCTTGCCATCCTTCAAAATGTTGATCGAGCTAGTTTAGGTTCATTAGATATGGTGGAAATTTTCGGACTCTGATTTTGAGTTCGGAGTTTCTTCAAAACTAATGTGATTAACTAAAACCTCTTCTTTTTACTCTTTATTCTTTTGATATGAGAAAATCAACTTTGCATCAGAAGTTTTAATTTCAAGTCGAGAAAATGCAGATCATTGAGATGATTTTGAAATAGTTCCTGCATTCTCGTCAGGATGAGTATATATGATAGAATCTCCACTTAACAATAAGATAGACACTTTAACTTTTACATCAACTACTGTGAAAGATTCTTCCTTTAGCTTTTCGTATATCGAAATTTTGACATTTTAGCTTTCAATTTAGTGTAATACTGAAAAGTCTTGTATCTCTTGGTTTTTCTTAAGCAATCACATAGCTTTTATCATAATTGAATTTGATTAAACATTCTTAATTTTAATAATTTTCGCTAGCTTTGGATTATATCAAACCATAACTAGGTAATAACATAAGTGATCCATCCTAATCTATAGGACGCAACCACCTAAGATAATGGCATAAAGATTACCTAATTTACAAGGCTCTTCTTTAAAAAATCCAGCATTTCCAAATAGTTTTTTTTTTTACTTATTGTAACATCCTTTGAAAGTATATATTGACTCTTCTATTCCTCTAGTACCCAACAAATTTTGTTTGGACGAGCTAAAAATAGAGAGCATTGAAATATCTGAAATAGATGTCGAGGTTTCGATATAACATTTTCTAGAAAGAGCTTACATTTTATGGGTTGACTTCCACCAAGAGGCTCCACAACTCTAGCTTATGCATGAGCGAATTTTTTTTGCATCTTTGTTATCAAGCAGCTTTGTCAACTTTTCAACTATTAAAGTCATATTTTGGATTCGATTATTAAAGTCTGATGTCGCTTCTGTAACCATCACCAACTTGAAGGATTCTCCAGAAGAAGTATATTAGTCCCCACTTTCATAGAAAAGTGACATAGGAGGACCCTAGACACGATTCTACCACTAGAGATAGATGCAAAATGAGAATTTATTTGCCAAGTTCTTGAACTTTTCTGTCAAATGAGAGCTCGCTTCCTGAAGTTGTGTTTTCATACCGTCTTTGTTAGAAAACTTCCTTAGAGATGAAACAAATTGAGTTTTCTCAATCTTCTTTGGGCTCAAGTTGCATGAAATAATTTAACAAGTGTCTCCTCGAGAGAAGTCATGACTTTCTTTATTTTTTTGCTTGAAACTTGAAAACTGGGATGAGACCGAAAGATAAAGGACAAGAAGGTTCCAGTGGACGTGTATACAATTTTTTCGACTATAAAACTAAAAGAAATGTTTACAAATTAACTTTTATGAAATATAAAATATATTGTTCTTTTTGTGACTTGGAAATTTCATGATCTTTGATTGACGATCCAAATGTTTGAATATAATAGATCACATGACTTAAATCCTGGACCTCAAGGCATGTTGCAATTTGATTTATTGATAACTTTATTTGCTTGAGACTTGGACTTTTAGACTTAGGGCGTGTTCTGTAGTATTTTTTTTTTTTTGAGAATGAATAGTTGAAAAATAAATTTTTTTATTTCTTTATCTTTAATATTATCATATGAAAGATTGTATAATTAAAAATACGAGGAAGAAAAAAAAGAAAAAAAAACCTTAATGGGGTCAAACCGGCTTATTTTAGCACCTTCACTTCCACATTATCCAAACGTCATCATCAACTCGAACCTATCTTCACTCTTCAGTTCAGGTCCTCCTACTCCTCTCTCTCTCTCTCTCTCTCTCTCTCTTACATATGTATGTATAAATGTGTATATGTAGAGAAAATGGCACAATGATGGGCTGCTGGAATAAACCTGCTAATTGGGCCGGATCTTGTAATTAATTTGGAGAGTTGCTGTTTTCATTTTGCCAAAAAGGGAGCTGCTGAACACGTTTTTCTTCTCATTTAAATGGCTGGCCAGATTTTGACAAGTGTCACACTTTACACCATTGGATGAAGACACTAGTGGGTTTCATATTAAATTGGCATTAGGGTTGGACGTCCAGCAGAACCAAAAAAACAGAATTCAGATTCCTTTCTCTCATTTTTTACGAGTTCCTCTCTGCCTCTCATCTCTCCTCTCTCGGTGGTCCTTTCAATCTATCAATTTTTGCACACCAAAAATTAGCCCCTGTTGATGAGAAATTAATTCAACCTTGTGTAGATAATCTTGAGTGATTTAACAAGGTGTATTGGTGTTATTCTTAAGTGAATGCCATTCTCGAATGTATAGAGGCTTATGTTGAAATAATCTTGAGTGATTATTGTATAGGCTTCGATTCATCATTCTTGAGTGAATGTTGTCGATTTATGAGGCTTAATTTTGGGGAAAATTTTGTGTGATTTTCTGCTGCGTGCCAAAAGATTGTACTGGACAGATTCGTTGATTCCATTGATATAGTGATTTCTTCCGTTTGACGGAAGCTCAAAAGGGGATTAGGAACGAAGTTCCGAACCTCTTGCCTTAGGGCGAAAATACCGTGTTCTTCATTGTGTTTTCTTGAACTTCTCGTAACAGTGGTATCAGAGCTCGTGATGGGGGTTCTTGGTGCCGGTGTTGGTAGTCTCGAAGGTTTCTTGCATTGGTTCAGTTGATCTCGTTTATTTCTTGAAATCCTAATAAGGGATTTTGGTGAGTTCGTTCCATAATTGTCGAGTTACATATATAATATTTGTCTATACTGTGAGATTTTTGTAACTGACTTAAAATCCCTAAATCTGAGACTTTATCTTGACAATGCCTTTATCTAGAGATCGTAAGTTGTCTGGAATCTAAGAATTGTCTTGATTTATAAGTTGACGATTTTGGACAAATTTTATGTTTTCTGCATGAGTTTATTATAATGTATATGGCATGTTATACTTGTGACTTGACACTGCTGGTTTTTTGTGTAAACTGCTTATTCATGTGGTGAATGGACTGATGAGATCTCACTGCATAATCTGTATTGTATAACTCACTTGTTAACTGTGCACTTTAAATTTGATTATGGTGTATGACATTTGAGTTCCTGCAAGTTGAATATACTGTTGACTTTGTATGTGATCTGCTTGCATTTTTTTTTTATCAAATTGAGTTTTGATAATGTCAACTAAAGTTGAATTGGAGATTTTTAATGGTAAAGGAGACTTTAGTCTCTGGCGCCAGAAAATGCGAGCCCTTTTGCTTCAACAAAAATGTGCTAAAGCCATTGATGAGTCATGGCCTAATGATATGGAAGAAATTAAGAAAACTGAACTTGATGAAATTGCATGGAGTTCTATATTCTTGCATTTATCTGACAATGTGTTGAGAGAAATTGGTGAGACAAAAACTGCTGCTGAGTTGTGGAAAAA